GATCAGAGTCTTGCTCATTTGTATCATGTCAAGGGGTTTACTTTTGTCTTCTTCTGATGTGAAGAGAGGTGCGTCTCCATGACCAAGCCAGGACTCAAACTTTGGTCTGCAAAGAGAGGTGGGTCCTCATGACCAAGCCAGGATTCAAATTTTGGTCTGCAAAGAGAGATGGGTCTCCATGACTAAGCCAGGATTCAAACTTTGGTCTGCAAAGAGAGGTGGGTCTCCATGACCAAGCCAGGATTCAGTCTTTGGTCTGCAAAGAGAGGTGGGTCTCCATGACCAAGCCAGGATTCAATCTTTGGTCTGCAAAGAGAGGTGGGTCTCCATGACCAAGCCAGGACTCAAACTTTGGTCTGCAAAGAGAGGTGGGTCTCCATGACCAAGCCAAGATTCAAACTTTGGTCTGCAAAGAGAGGTGGGTCTCTGTGACCAAGCCAGGACTCAAACTTTGGTCTGCAAAGAGAGGTAGGTCTCCATGACCAAGCCAAAATTCAAACTTTGCTCTGTAAAATCGTGGTCCAGTGCTCACACAATGCTGGCTCTCAGATTTTACCATCCTACCTTGAATTTCTTTGCTGATCCATTTGTTGTTCTCCTTGATTTTTCCTCCCCACTTAGTGTTTTAGGGCAGCTCTGGTAGCCACCCCCAAAGCCCTTCAGGAACCAGCATTAGTCCCCTTCATGCTTGAAGACACATTATACCAGGCATAGTCAAGGTAGCCCATACCTGTGTTATACCATCTTGAAGGGAGACTGCTTTTCTGTTGCTCCCGCCAGCAAGAGAGAAAGCAGCCCAGATGGGCTTCTTTTGACTTGCTTGGCCTGATCCAAAGCACAAATGACTCCTGGTTGTGGTAGTTGCATGAAATCAGAGAGTTCTGATGTTTGGATTCCTTATAATGAAGAAGTAGAATCCAAGAGCTGTAATGGATTAGGATGGACAAGATCCAAGTGATGCCGGGCATTGTAGTCCAAAGTCTTCTTGGGAATGGAGAGACTCAACTTGGCTCCCCATTGCCCAGAATCCTCTCCGTCTTGCAAGAATGAGCAGTGGACCAGTGGGTGATATTAGACACGGAATCCAGCTCCATATTACAGTCAATAGATATCAGACAGCAGAGTGGAGTCAGATGCTACAAAGCCCTTGAAGATGTGGCCCTTCATTGTGTCCATCTCCTTGGCATCGTGATGCATCGATCTCCTTGGCTCCGTGCTCCAAATTTTGCAACAGCTCGATGCCTTCTATTTTTTGCAAGGCTCCCAGGATCCAAAGCAGAAATGAAGTCCCAAAACTGGCATTTGGATGCCCTCCTGCAGAAACCCACATTGAACATTGGCCAAACTTGGGCTTTTGTGGCGGCAGCCTTGGCAATGCTCCCAGCGCCTTGCAGACATCTTCCATTTCTGGCAGGCAAACGTAGAGCGAATTGCATGTGGTTTCATTTCTTTTTGCACCCCCTTAAGAGCCCAACGGGTCCCATGATTGCCTTGGAGGAGCTAATAAATTGCTAATATAATTTTCTCAATTATTTTATGCCCCCCTTTCCTATGTTTGAAAAGGAGGGAGTCTGTTGTGTTTTTGTTTTTATTAAGCCTCATGTTCCGCTCACTTTAATCTTCCCAGGGCTAATGCAATTTGTACTGACTCATAACATTTTTTTCCAGAGCAATCAAGAATGCATAAACAAAAGCAAATTGTTTAATGGCGCAAAGGTCACCGGCTATTTGTTATTGACGACGTGTAAATATTGGGTTCGAGATGGAAAGGGGGAGATTTACCGCCTCCATTGGTCGTTCCCTGGGTTTTTGCAAAGGGAGGACAAGATGAGTGCATTGCCACCGTCGAATAAAAAGTCTTCTTCCCCATAACATGTCCTAAACCCACAAGTTTCTAGAATTGCAGGAAATTAAAGCTTCAGTTGAGTATTTTGACACTTTGGGCACCCCAAACAAATAATAATAATAATAATAATAATAATAATAATAATAATAATAATAATAGGAAGCATCCGAAGTGTCCTTGAAAATAGGACTTGGAACAATGGATTCAACTTACAGGAAAGGAGATTCCACCTAAACATCAGGAAGAACTTCCTGACTGTACGAGCTGTTCAACAGTGGAACTCTCTGCCTCGGAGTGTGGTGGAAACTCCTTCCTTGGAATGTAGGCCAATGTCTTACTGAAAACAATGATGTTAATGTGTTTTAACCTTATCATAGAATAATAGAGATGGAAGAAACCACATGGGCCATCTAGTCCAACCCCTTTCTTCCATGCAGGAAAAGCACAATCAAAGCACCCCTGACAGATGGCCATCCAGACTTTTGTATTATTATTATTATTATTATTATTATTATTATTATTGTTGTTGTTATTATTATTATTGTTATTATTATTGTCATTATTATTAATAATAATAATAATTGTCATTATTATTATTATTATTATTAATAATAATAATAATAATAATAATAATAATAATAGCAGAAACCCAAGGGGTCATCACGGAGGCCCTCAGTATGCTTCACAGAGGCCCAAGGGCTGGATGGCCATCTGTCAGGGGTGCTTTGATTGTGCTTTTCCTGCATGGCAGAAAGGGGTTGGACTAGATGGCCCTTGTGGTCTCTTCCATCTCTGTTATTCTATGATAAGGTTATAACACATTAAAATCATTATTTTCAGTAAAACATAGGCCTAATTCAAGTCTGAAAATGACCTGCTGGAAGAGATCGGTCTTAACTGCTGTCGTTAATTCCTCCTCAAGATAACACTGGAATCAGTGGCTTTTTAATTCACTCCTCCGCAATCATTAATATTTTTAATTTTGCCTATATATATATAGAAAGATATTCTGCAAATACCTTGGTGGATTTTTTCCCCCAATTTAATCTGACGAAGGTTAAGTGCCGCCACCGCGCTCGCGTCGAAATGCTTCTCCCTTTTGCTCTAAACTCGCCATCTCCTCTTTTAATTTGCCTCTTATATCATTTTATTCTAATTTCCTCCTTAACTGCGATGGTTTGGGTTTCATTAGCAAAGGAAACGCTTGGCTAATATGGCCTTTTTGTCATAACTGCTTTTTGATATTACTCTCCGTCTTCAAAGTCTCCGCATTAGCACCTATTCCTTGGATGAGGGGCCCATTTTGCCGATTGAAAGGGGGAAATGCAGCAATCTGAATAAAACGCAGCAATTAAGCTCAGATTTGCTTTTTGCAGAATTCCCTCTTTGGCTGGAAATCGTTCCTAGAAAGAGCTAAGTTAGGATTTGAGGAGTTAATTGACGAACACTGCTCTCCGTTTGCTGTTTTGGAGATATTATTTCATAATATGTGCTTCTTTTCCCAAGTTACTCATCCCTTTGGCCACAATAATAGCAATCTCAAAAAGACACAAAAGGACTGGAATAAAAATTTGGGGTTGTGAAAGGAGAAGATGTCTCCATTCTGCTTCAGACTCTCAATAATTGGTCAAATCAAATGCAGTATGGCTCAAAATCCTGCAATAATTCGTACAGGTTGCAAAATTTTGATCCACATTTCTTTAACACTGGTTCTGGGTGCATCTACACTGCTGAGTTAATCCAGTTTGATACCCCATTAGCTTCCATGGTTCAATGTTATGGAATGGTGGGAGTTGTAGATTTGCAATGTATTTAGCCTTCTCTGACTTCCCGGATTCCATAACATGAAGCCGAAATTCCTGCCAAGCCCTGATCTCTGCTGTCATATAATGCCTGCAGTTTGAACTACATTGAGCTATGGTCTACACCAGACATGAGCAAACTTTGGTCCTCCAGTAAGTGGCTGAGGGGGGAAAGGAGGGGACCTGAGCCTGTTAGGAATGGTGGGAGTTGACATCCAAAAAACTTTGAGGATCAAAGTTTGCCCGTGCCCAATTTACACTGCCTATATAATGCAATTTCAAACTGCATTGTGTGGTAGTATAGATCCAGCTCAAGCTGATCTTCCACTCCTAGTTCCACTTTTGTCCTTCAACTGGAAATGTGGCTTGTTCTGGAGTGTGCAGAGGAGCCGTCATAATAATAATAATAATAATACAATAACAACACTTGGGAAGTGACCAACATGTGATCCAATACAACAGCCAGCAGAGTGATCTTGTCTGCTGTGGACTCATCTTGTTGTGTTCCAAATAATAATAATCATCATCATCATCTGATGAAACCATTGACCATCTCCTCAGCTGTTGCAAGAAAATCGCACAGACGGACTACAAACAGAGGCACAACTCTGTGGCCCAAATGATTCATTGGAACTTATGTCACAAGTACCACATGCCAGTAGTAAAGAATTGGTAAGGGGATCATAAACTTGCAAAGGGAGTGGAAGATGAACACGTAAAAATACTGTGGGACTTTCAAATCCAGACTGGCAAAGTTTTGGAACACAATACACTAGACATCACAATTGCGGAAAAGAAAAATTTTGGATTATTGATGTTGCCATACTAGGTGACAGTTACATTGATGAAAAACAACAGGAAAAACTCAGCCGTTATCAAGACCTTAAAATCGAACTGCAAAGGCTTTGGCATAAATCAGCACAGGTGGTCCCAGTGGTCATCGGCACACTGGGTGCTGTGCCAAAGATCTCAGCCAGCACTTGGAAACAATAAACATTGACAAAATCACAATGTGTCAGCTGCAAAAGACCACCTGACTTGGATCTGCACGTATCATTCCAAAATACATCACACAGTCCTAGATGCTTGGGAATGTTCGACTTGGGATTTAGTGATACGAAATCCAGCATATAGATCTCGTTTGCTGTGACATACTGTGTATTGTGTCATTAAAATGATAGTAGTAGTAGTAATAATAATAATAGTAATAAGTAGTAGTGGTGGTAGTAGTTGTGGTTGTTGTATTGTTTTGTTTGTTACTGCCTCTCCTCAAGGCTCAATGGGGAGTACAGAGATGCTGCTTAGGAGAGTCAGGATCCTATGTCTGATGGCAACCCTTCCTCTTGTTTCAGGCTCCGACATGGCGGTCTTCTGCCTTCTCTGCGGGAAACGGTTCCAGACCCAGACGGCCTTGCAGCAGCACATGGAGGTGCACGCCGGAGTGCGCAGCTACATTTGCAGTGAGTGCAACCGCACTTTCCCCAGCCACACCGCTCTCAAGAGGCACCTGCGCTCCCATACAGGTAAGATGGCAGAAGAAGAGGGGAGGGGAAGTCGGGGCCATACATGACCCAGGAATGGGCCCTGTTTGGGGTAGTTAACATTGGGGAGAAGAGCGAATGGGAAACAATTTGGATGAGGAAGGAACCAAGTGGCCTTGGCTCCAAGAGGGACCAAGCAAGAGTGTGTTTACAAAGGGGGCATGACCTCCTCTTCCTTCCCCTTGGAGCCCAGACCAGCTGCATTTCCATCATTGTGGAAAAGATAAGGCCTTCCCACACCCAAAGTCATTTTTAATCTTCATCCTGATAGGATAATAATAATAATAAAACTTTATTTGTATACCGCTCTATCTCCTCGAGGGGACTCAGAGCGGTTCCCAGGTAAAAATCACAAAACATACAAAGTAAAAACGACATAACCATAAGATTAACAAAACAAAATATGCATTAAAATTGTCACCATAACACACATATATTAAAAGGATATTAAAAAGATGGCATCCCTCAATTTCCTACAAGAAGTAGATGGTGGTACCTGTTTTAGCATGATGCTTTTGGTGACTAGAGCATGTTGTCCATGATGGAAAACAACCTTTCTCTCCCTCTCTCTCTGCAACATTCAGTATTTCTCATGCTCAGTAATGTTTTGCTTTAGCTGAGTTTTCCTTCGATGTCAGTTTGAATGGCAAACCCATTCCAGGAATTTGCCCAGTTTGTAAGGGGCTACTCAAGGTGCTGAATCCTTCCTTCCATGTGTTCAGCACCTTGGACAGCTGTTTAGAGCAGTGTTTCTCAACCTGGGGATCCGGACCCCCGTGGGGGTTGTGAGGGGGTGTCAGAGGGGTCGCCAAAGACCATCAGAAAACATAGTGGTCATGGGGGTTCTGTGTAGAAAGTTTGGTCCAATTCTATCGGTGGGGTTCAGAATGCTATTTCATTGTGGGTGAACTATAAATCCTAACAATTACAACTCCCAAATGACAAAGTCTATTTTCTCCAAACTCTACCAGTGTTCACATTTGGGCATATTGAGTACTTGTGCCAAGTTTGATCCAGATCCATCATTGCTTGAGTCCACAGTGTTATCTGGGTGTAGGTGAACTACAACTCCAAAAAACTCAAGGTCAATGTCCACCAGACCTTCCCAGTATTTCCTCTTGGTCATGGGAATTCTGTGTGCCCAGTTTGATTCAATTCCATTATTGGTGGAGTTCAGAAGGCTCTTTGATTTAAGGTGAACTATAAATCCCAGCAACTCCAGGATTACCAAATGACAAAATCAATCACACCCAACCCCACCAAATTCAAATTTGGGTGTATTGGGTATTTGTGCCAAATTTGTTCCAGTGACTGAAAATACATCCTGCATATAAGATATTTAGATTACGAATCATAATAGTAGCAAAATTACAGTTGTGAAGTAGCAACGAAAATAACATTATGGTTGGGGGTGACCACCACATGAGGACCTGTACTAAGGGGTCGCGGCATTAGGAATTTTGAGAACCACTGGTTTAGAGGAACATTTGGCTCATTCCCAGTGACTCCCATTTGAATGGGCTGGAGAAATCATGGTGAGCATTAGCCTGGTTTCAGTGACAGCTTGCTAAAGTATTGAACTCTCTCCCTTAAGAGGTTTTAGAAACTTTGAGCATTCCTTTAAAAGCCAGGACAAAACTTAAAGAACATTCACTATCCCACTAATGTGGGTCCCACCAGCTACTCGAAGTGTTGGTCCTTTGCACACAATGCAAAAGATACACTCCGTACGTCGGCTTCCATAGCTTCAGCTTCCCTTGATCTCCAGCCAGATGAGAGGCAGAGAGATTAGGACAAGTAGGTCCATCTCGATCGTGTCTCAAACTGGCTCATAAGGAATCCAAAGTCACCCCAATCTGGGATGCAGAATTCTCCAAATTCCTTGTCCACCACCAACTCTGAATCCAAGGATGCTTGTGGGATATGTTTTCTTAGTCTCATTATTTGGAGATGTAACTTAATTCCTCCTTGAAAAATTGGGGGCGGAAGAGAGGCTTTGCGAGGTGCTCCGTCATATGACCTTAATAAGTGGCCATGCGGTTGCAATTCATCTGCTTAAAGTATGGGTTGCCAGGCCAGGTCCTGCACACCCCGGTGCCTCCCACCCTCCTGGCCGCCTTTAATGGGATTACACCAACTTGTGTGCTACATGTGTGCGGGATTAAGATTGCAGAAGGAAGGCGGCATGTGATGAAGGGCGGAGGGCTAATGCTGGCACGTCTGCCTTCCCTTGCCCCTCCTTCAAGTACCAGATGGTCAGAGCCTGGGAAAGTTGGTGTGTGGGTAGGGTGTGCGTGTGACTGTCCAGTCCCATCATCCCCTAACATACTCCTGGGAGATTGGAAATAATAATAATAATAATAATAATAATAATAATAATAATAATACTTTATTTATCTTCCCAAGGGGACTCAGGATGGCCTACAACAAAGTAAAACATATTGGTAAACATTCAATGCCAAAGGTACAAATCACAAATCAAAAACAGTTTATATAAATAAGATGTAATAAATTCACATTATTCACGTATTAGATCATTAAAACACTTAAAATTTGACTAAAAGTATTGGGGTTATGATATACAGCAGGTTAATGAAGGTAGATGTTCAGCAAAACATGGATATATTGTCGAAACCAGGGTTCTCAAACTTTCTGCTGTGGAGCCCTTTTTGAAGCAAAGGTTTCTCATGGAGTCCCAAGAAATGTTTACATTTCGGCCACATGACCTTGGAGGTGTCTTTGGCTTAGAAAGGGAGATGAGCACCACACCCCAGAGTCGGATACGATTGGACTTAATGTCAGGGGAAAACCTTTACCTTTACCTATTGTATATAATATGTGTGTGTGTGTGTATCAGGCATGGGCATACTTTTTGACCAACATAAACTTCAGTCAGTGGAAGACCCCAAGGGCCATCCAGTCCAACCCCCTTCTGTCATGCAGGAAAAGCACAATCAAAGCATCCCCAACAGATGGCCATCCATCCTTTTAATTATTGTTATTGTTATTGTTATTATTAGAAACACAACAAGATGAGTCCACAGCAGACAAGATCACTCTGCTGGCTGTTGTATTGGATCACACGTCGGACACTTCCCAAGTGTCTAGGACTGTGTGATGTATCGGCGAATAATGCGTGCAGATCCCAGTAAGGTGGCCTTCTGCAGCTGGCAGATGGATTTTGTCATTGCCGATTGTGTTTAAGTGCAGGCCAAGGTCTTGAGGCACTGTATCCAGTGTGCCGATCACCACTGGGACCACCTTGACTGGTTTGGTTGTTGTTGATTATTATTATTATTATTATTAATAGCAGAAACCCAAGGGGCCATCACAGAGCCCCTCAGTATGCTTCGTGGAGCACCAAGGGCTCCCCATAGCACACTTTGAGAACTGCCGGTCTAAACCCTCTGGATAAAACAAGGTTGAGAAAGCCTGAACTTTCATCTGTGTTATCTATCTGTCTGTCTCTATTTCTATCTCTATTCGAGTGGCTCCCTCTAAAATCTTACCATCTTTCTCTACTATCTATCTATCTATCTATCTATCTATCTATCTATCTATCTATCAATCATCTATCTATCATTATCTTAGTGATTCTCTGAAATACTCCTTCCTCTAAAATCTCAAATTCTCTGTCTATATCCTTTATTTCTCTCTCTCTACCTCTATTGGTATCTCTATATTATCTGTCAGTCAGTCAGTCAGTCTATCTATCTATCTATCTATCTATCTATCTATCTATCTATCTATGTATCTGCCTATTTATCCATTTCTCTTTTTCTATGCAAGTGGCTCCCTCTAAAATTTCACCATCTATCTCTACTATCTATCTATCTATCTATCTATCTATCTATCTATCTATCTATCTATCTATCTATCATCTATCTATCATTATCTTAGTGATTCTCTGAAATACTCCTTCCTCTAAAATCTCAAATTCTCTGTCTATATCCTTTATTTCTCTCTCTCTACCTCTATTGGTATCTCTATATTATCTGTCAGTCAGTCAGTCAGTCAGTCAGTCAGTCAGTCTGTCTATCTATCTATCTATCTATCTATCTATCTATCTATCTATCTATCTGCCTATTTATCCATTTCTCTTTTTCTATGCAAGTGGCTCCCTCTAAAATTTCACCATCTATCTCTACTATCTCTGTCTTTCTTTCTTTCTTTCTTTCTTTCTTTCTTTCTTTCTTTCTTTCTTTCTCTGAGTGACTCCCTGAAATATTCCACTAAAATATCAATTTCTTTGTGTATATCCTTTCTCTCTGTCTCTCCCTCTATCTGTATCTCTATATCCTATATCTATTCATCTATCTATCTATCTATCTATCTATCTATCTATCTATCATCTATCTATCTTTATCTGAGTGACTCCCTGAAATATTCCTTTCACTAAAATATCAATTTCTTTTTCTATATCCTCTCTCTCTGTCTCTCCCTCTAACTGTATCTCTATGTCATCCATCTATCTATCTATCTATCTATCTATCTATCTATCTATCTATCTATCCATCCATCCATCTATCTGCCTATTTATCTATCCATTTCTCTTTTTCTATACAAGTGGCTCCCTCAAAAATTTCACCATCTATCTCTACTATCTCTCTGTGTGTGTTCTTTCTTTCTTTCTCCCTGAAATATTCCACTAAAATGTCAATTTCTTTGTCTATTCTTTCTCTCTTCTCTCCTCTATCTTATCTCTTATCCATCTATCCATCTATCCATCTATCCATCTATCCATCTATCCATCTATCATCTATCCATCTATCCATCTATCATCTATCATCTATCCATCCATCCATCCATCCATCCATCCATCTATCTATCTATCTATCTATCTATCTATCTATCAATCTATCTTTATCTGAGTGACTCCATGAAATATTCCTTCCACTAAAATATCAATTTCTTTTTCTATATCCTCTCTCTCTGTCTCTCCCTACCTGTATCTCCATATCATCTATCCATCCATCAATCCA